TACCTGTCCAGATTCTCACCATCAGTTACATGAGTTGTTTTTCAACATGGCGCAACCTGCACCAGGTTTGGCGCCATGGTGCTTTCTCTCTCCTTCTTCACTCCTGCTGTGGTCTTGCGCTACTGTCGATATCGCCTTCGATGTCTCGGTAACACTGCCCTGTTATCGCCTTTATTCTCACCTATATCCGTTAACTCTCACAAAACAACTCAATACCACTGTCCCAATGCCACGTCTTCACTTCGCACATATGCACTAACTTCCACACTAGCATCAAATATCTAGCCCTGCTCGTAGAGAATTCTGAATAATGAATGCTGCTGTCTGATGATCGCTCCGATGCGTGAAACTTTACGTTACAGCTAACACAGCCTTTCGCCTCTGTTCTGTGTGATTACACTACATGTATTGAGCGGGGACAATTTCAGCAGGTAACAATTCAACAACTTTTTGAAGGACCCAATGCAGGTTTACCGCTTTCTTAACTTCATTTTTGGCCGCGTTACCAATGTGTAGTGAACGTTGTGTATCCTTGAGTGACCGTTGTTTATCCTTATTGACTTCTTTTTCCTTGGTGCAAGTCACACTCCATGTATGTTCTTCACGATCTTTACCTTTACTGGGTCTTCACATTGTCTATAGCCTCATCTTTTAACTTTTCTTTTTCCTTTTTGCCTCATCGGCGCTCTCTTTGAATTTGTGTGTCAACACTGTTGAGTTGTTCGATGTTAAATAAATACTACTACTACTACTAACAATAATGTGTGAATCATCAGCATCAGCAAATAAAGCAAAACAAGGCAAAATCTGAACAGACGGGAGGAAGTGTGAATTTGTAATTGTACCTGCTACATGTACGGTGCATGGTATTAGATTTATTTTATTTTATTTTTATTCTTATTTTACTAGGGATTTCCCAACAGGCGTCATCGCCTTCTTACTGGGAACCTTAAGAACGTCTTGGTGGATGATCGAAATTCAGCAGGTGAATTAGAAAGGCGGTAAGCAGGTGGCAGTGCATTCCACCGGTCAGCGTCTACGTAAGAAATTGCACTGAAACCATAGCGCGTGGTAGCAGGGGGTAAAACAAGCGCGGCAGACACCTGACCACGGGTAATGGCAGCAGTTTGAGCACCGTGAGCACGAAGAGTAATCCAATTCTAGAACCGTGGATGGTTGTAGTAAAGGTCACTGTTTCCGAACACGGCGGTCCCCCACCTTGTTTCATGCTGTCAACTAACACCATGTACGGTGCATGTACCACGTTGCTGCTCAATGAAATCCTGTATACATGTAGTGGAGTCGTGCGAAGTGCAGACCCAGACTAGCGAACACTGGGCTGCGCACACGTGCATGCTTAGTGTACAATGTACACTTCCATAAAAAGTCTCTTCTATAAAACTTCATGGTCAGCATTTACACATTACTTATTATGAATCCAAACACTCGTATATGATCTCTCCGTTGCCCACGTAACTTCAGGTTCACCAAGGTTTCCGGCCTGGACAATTGTACGCGTGAAAAAGTTGAAACAAAGTTTGAAAGGTTGGACTGAGAGAAGTAATGAACGTAAAATCTGTGGCTTGAAAAAGGAAAAAAAACTCAGGACCCTCAAATCCAAGTCATCCGTTGTTTGTCGAACACTACAGTTGTTACAAGCGAAATACTGGTGAGTCAAAAGGTTCCCCTTTCTTACGTATACGAAATGCACTGCAACATAAAAAGGCAAGTGGATGGTTGTCATCTGGCAATCGCTCTATTCAGTAGCTATCTCGTGACTGCGCGCCGATTGTCTCTTCCCAAGGTTGACTCGCTCGAAATGTCGAAATGTGTAGTATCAATAAACTACTTTTTGTTTCGAAGTAATTTGAAAATAACTTAGGACTATCAATGGAGTGCAGTAAAATTGATGTCAAATGAACAGACCGGTTGTAAGTTGCCCCCCCCTCCCCTTTTGCTTTTACTTTTCACAGTACTAGAGTAATTGTTACGGAATCATGTGACGTACATACCTTGGTAAGGTCCATGCGAACAGGACAGATGTTCGCGCGTTCATCGCTGGACAGCATGCAGCTGTTGCCACGTTGGAGCCAGCTCTGGTAGAGGGTGCGGCTTGGGAATCGCACGTCTAGTGCGGATGGACCGACCGCCGGTCCGCCTCTACTGTAGCTGCAGCTGGCGTTGACAGTAAAAGCCTCATTCGCTTCGACAGTGATATTTTCGCTAGCAGATAGCACTCGCTGGGCATACTGGATTACATTACAAACATTCAGCTCGCTTGCAGTGTCATTGTGAGACCTGAGCGCGAACACTGGAGGGCAGTAGACATCGCCTGGGGAGTGTCGCAAGCTGAAAGATCGCGATGCGTCGACTACAAGAGACTCGATTGCTTTGTTGCTGTAGGTCGTCGTGAAGTTGACAATGACCAGCCGCTCGCCATCGATACTCTGACGAATAAGGCCATTGAAGTTATTTGGCCCGCACTTGAAGTAGATACAAAAACGGTTCGCCTCTGGAAGTACATAATATGCTACGTTACCGTTGTCCGCAAGTCTCCAGTCGTCCTGATCCGTCGGGCACATCATGCTTGCTGCCTCGCACTTCGGAACGGCACGATCATCATCACATCTGCCTGTCCTCGCAGATACTGACAGGATTGCTATGATTAGCAGAAGTGACCCGGCTGGATACTTGAGTAGCACAATCGAGATCCTCATTTTCACTATCTCCTACTGGAGCTATAGTGCGGGAGCAATGGCACACAAGAAAAAAGGGAGAGAGATAGACCGGATAGAGAGACCAGATAAGAGAAAGAAAGAAAGAGAGAGAGAGACGACAGGGGCTGCGTATTCGACGAAGCTCTCTGGTAAAGCCACTGTCGAAATATAGCAGTTACACTCGTCTCCTGCCCTTCTTCACTTCCAGTGGAATATATAAAACAAATTCGAACCGATCCAGCCAGGAACAAGCCCTACCAGATGGAGAAATTTGCCACCCAAGAACACGAAACTGAGAATTCCTGATGTGGAGGATTCGTGGCGCTGCATGCAGGGAAGTTTGGTTCAAACTGTGGCGCAGCTTTGTCGAGAGAGCCATAGGCGGAGCGGTCTGGCAGATGCGCGACTGCCACTGCATAATGGCCGCGTGCGTCAATGCTGTCTGCACTGTCAGGCTTGTACTGCATCACACTTCCCTGCTTTGCACATGCCGCAGCGATAGGACTGTGATGCACCCCTGCCGCGGGATGTGCACCAACACTGCACAAACATCCCGCGTTGCTTGCCAATGCCCGAGGAGGCAGGAAGTGGAACGTGGAAGTGATAATTGCAACCCCCTGAAACTAATGACTAATCAGAAAAGTCATTAGTTGAAAAATAGCACTGAATAAAACCGATTGTGCACTCATAACCGTGTCAAGCGATGGAAAAGAATGTGAAGTAAAATGATGGAAGAAGGAAGCAAGTTTGGTGTAGCCAAGTTTGGCCGTTAGTGTTCTATTTGAAGTGTATTATTATTATACGCACGTCCGCGTTTACGTCAACAGTATGTCCACGTATTCGCATGTGCCAGAAGACAGGCAGAGTGTGCAGAGAGGAAAATATAAAAAAATGAATGAAGTGTATTGCTGTTTGTATTAGCACCCCGTCCTTTTTCATTTGTTAGTACACGCCCATCGTGTGCGCTCACGGCTTTAGCGGTTATAATCCACACTTGTATAATTTCAGTGCTGTTGTTAGAGGTGTTATTAAAATAAAATAAAAATGAATTTCACGATTCACGTGAGACTCGGCTTGACGCCGAGTTTTCCGCATCCGCCGTGGGAACGCCACTAACCTCTAGGATCAAGGCGCAGATGCAGCGCCTAAGCGGTGGGAGGTGAGTAGATCAGACCCACAACCAAGTTGTCAAAGACCGAAATCCCATTAGCTTCATCCAAAGGTGTTTTACCTCCTATTTGTCTTGTTCTTTCTTTTCACTATGTTCACATTCCCAGCTCGGATATAATAAAGAAAGACAATGGTACTGAGACTAGGACGAACGTGACAACTATTGAGCAGGGGCTGCACCGAGACGCAGCAGTGATGGTGGGGCATTGATGGCTCTGCCGAACTGAGGTCTCGGCACAACGGCTGAAAACACGCACCAAAAACACAATAGATAGAACCGTACGGGTCAGAAAAATGAAAAAAGAAGGCTTTAAAAAAAAAACAGCGAGTATGCGGGAGAAACCATGATGCTATGAAAAATTACAGAGGTTATGACCGAGAGGAGCATCAACATGGCTGATCATGCCGAGTCGATAGTCCCAGCCAGTTGTGTTGCATAAATAGGGATAGACGAGAGCAGCATCATAGCGAGTCGATTGCCCAGAGCCAGTTTGTGCTCCGTAGATGGCGATAAACATTCGTTTGAATTCTAGTGCTTTGGGGGAAATGAGAAAGAACCCTCCACTCGCTCTGGCCCGTCTCGGTCGTCCGTCGCAGGATCTGCACTCTGGAACCTGCTGCCGGATGATGTTCAGACCATAGCAAGACAGAAGACGTTTAGCATAAGTTGCTTACCGTATTTTTTCTCTGATTAGCAAGCCCCCTTTCTCTCCTTGACCACCCTGCCACCCCTGAAACTCGCTTGACTCCTCTGTCAGATCCTTTTTCTTTCGGAATTTTCAAATTCCTGTCCTTCCGTTTATACATGCAGGTGATCCATTCCCCTAAATATAATTGGGCCTTGTTCCCATTTATTGTGCAAATTAAAATACATCAACCAACCAAAGACGAGCAGCTGGGAGGGAGTCACATAACTCACATTCACTATAATGCTGCAGTGTGGAAACGAGGGCTTCATTGCCAGCGGAACAGATGCAAGCAGCTGGCGTTGGAGCTGGTGGTCATGGCCAATGACACTACCGTGCTCGCTGCGAGTTATGGGGCTGGTAGAGGGGAAATGGCGCAGTGGCAAATCAGAGAGCAGCTGGGGAGGAGCAGACAGGCAATGAAGCTTGTACAGGCAGGCAAGCCAGCCAACAGCACAGTGGATGGCCAGGCTGGGTAATAGTGTACATGGACGGATGATTCGCGGAGCACCGCGTTGGATATGATCCAGGTGTTGCAGGTTACTGGGCGGAGAACCTGTCCAGATGAGGGGGGGGGGGCATACTCGGTATGTCCATGCGTGGCGAGCGGCAGTGGCCAAACGGGAACTTTGCCTGTATCCCTGTGACTCATGGTTGCATGCTGCATGACTGTGTACGGTCTAGTACTGGCAGGTGGAGACCACGCCCAGGGATAGCATCGGCCAGGGCTGGGTGTTCCATGATTCAGTCAAAGCCCCGCGTATTAAAAAAGGGAAACCAAGTAGGAGTCCAGGTTAAAAAGAAAAGATAACAACATTTAGAACGAGGCCTGTCTCGTTGTCCAGGAGACGACCAATCAGTCAAGGGCCTTATACCAATCGTAATTTTACTACTCTTTGATGACGCGTCGAGGGCCTTGGATTAGTTTAAGCTCTCTCGTTCGCGGCAGACTAAACTCACGGACAAGTCATTTTCATAGTTAATACTTTAACGCCAGCAAGTAAGGGTCAACAGCAACCTGCCTGACTGCAAGGGTGGTTTTCATTGGCATGTGTGCACGTGACCTTTTCTTTTGCTAAAGTGATGAAAACCTCTTGTCAATGCAATTCCAACCTGTGTAATCCACACATTTCCGACAGTGGATTCTAATTTTATTCTGCACAAAGGCAAATACGTGCCAAAAAACGTCATCAAAAACAGATTTGATACATAGCAGATGGGATAATGCCGTTTATTATTTTTATTTTTTATTTTTATTTTATTTTACTATTATTATTTTTTCAGCAACGCAGATGATGATGATGATGATGATGATGATGATGATGATGATGAGATGGGATTACTAGTAACTAGTAATGGGCATACTACGCACCCGTTTGTCTTTCTGCTTGCTGCGATGGGCAGTCACCTGCTTCCGCGGTTGCCGCGGTTCGTACGGCAAGAGGCGACAGCCGAACTCATTTCTGGCCCAGTGCCGCCAGGCGGAGTAGGGTGCTGCCTTTGGCCTCAACTTAATATAATGCTATTTGGTTTTTCCCCTTTTATTACTCTGTGTTCATTGCTTGTTTTTGTATTGATTTACTTCCTTGACTGCTTTTGTGTTTCATCATTTTCCGGTTGGTTTTGTGTTGATTTCCCCTGTTCACTTTACATATTGTAATGATATACATTTGCTTTGCCCGTAAAAGAGGCTTTTCTCATGAGATGGGATTATCCTGAGCTACATGTGCCTGCAAATCTGGGATATGAACAGTGCCCAGTCCCAAAGTGCCTGTATAAGAGACATTCAAGTGGACCTGCTGTACATGTACTTGTAGTACAATTCTGTGAGTGTTTCCAAGTCACCTGAGTGATAATGTTTGTACTCACCTCCAACAAAGATATCCACTTACTGCATGTCATCTAGGAACTTTGAAAAGGGTGCTTCAGATTCGGTGCTACGCACAATGCTACAGAAGATGTGGAAAGTCTCAGCTCTACCCGTGCTCAGCATATCTAGCAGTCGGTCATGGTGTTTGGCAGAATCCTCTATTTCCATCAATTCCTTCTTCTGCTTTTGGGAGATCAACCGCGTGGCACAGCACTCCACACGAATTGCACTGCGGCTGAGCGCTGGTTGGTGGCGTGGGATGCACTTGCGGACCATCCGGCTCAACCATGGCCCAATGTTGACAACGGGGCTCTGCCATAACAACATAGAGTGTGTGTACAGTAGCCGTTGGTGAATAATGATCTAAATAATACAACTTGATTGGCAGCACAATCTCTTCTTTTATTGTTGTTGTTCTGATTTGCCCTTTTTTGCCATAGCTGGCTATAATCGCCCTCACCACCTCCTTGATTGGCCTTGGCCATGAGTGTGTGCGTAATAATAAAAATAATAATAATAATAATAAAGGTTTGCTCCCCACACCGGAGCTCGCGCTATTCCGCCGACTTTACTTGACTGACTCACGACTCACGGTGTGGGGAGCAAACCTTTCTTACAAATCATCGCCGAAGTCGCAACCACTACTTCGTAATAATAATAATAATAATAATAATTAAAAAGCTTCCGTGGAGATAAAAATGTAATCAACGCAATAAATAGAGTAAGCTGCGCACTCAGTACAAACACCATAAGCAAAACTTGTTTTCATGAAAATAAAGAAGCTTGTTCCTAAACGTTTTCGTCGCCATCTCGTCAGAGGATTACTGGCAAATCAACAATAGCTCTTAACTCGATATATATACGCACAATGCAAGTAATAATTTTAGACCCTAACTAGCGCGAGAAAATGAGAGCTGAAAGAAACATTACACCAATCAACGATATCAGGTGACAACTGATGCGATAAATTCACCACTAGAAAGTAACCATGCAACCACAAACGAGAACTAATGATCTAAATTCACAAACAATTTCAACGTAAACAAATTCTTTTTCTGCCTACACAAAATCGGCTTGGTGGTAAAAATGTAGATAGACTCCAATACACGCAAATACCTTTGACTACGTGAACGAGCATAACAAGAACGACACTCACTATTCTGAACAAGATGGTTAGCAACAGAAGATTCATACACCCTAACACCGCTACTAGAACCAGTACATACTTTGGAATTACGTGACAATGAAACCGACCTGACATTCCTTGCCGCTACTGCCAATCCAGACGAGGCCGATGTAGATGTCAGTACCAAAGGCACGTCCGTTACTGGCACTGCCTGCTGCGATGATGCTCCCTTTGACGTTCCAATGGCTGCTGATGTTGATGAAGAGGAGGAGGGAGATGAGGAGGACGCTGACGACGACGATGACGACAACGACGGAGACGATAAAGACTGCTAACCTCGCCCTTGAGCGAGTCACTGGTCCTGCAGACACACCATCCGGTGGTTTCTTCGGTGGCCGGCCACGCTTTTTGCCACCGGAGGTGGACACACCGGATGACGGTACCAAGGAAGTCAAAGAAGACGAAACCGCAGATACCAACGATGATGACGGGATAGAAGGAAGAGACGGTAAAGACGAAGGCAATGACGAACAAGCCGATGCCGACGAAGAAGACAACGACACCCCAGTTGGTTCCGTCCCCAGCGAGGGTGCACCTCCAGTCGCAGTACGAGGTGAATTGCGATTTCTGGACATTGTACATTTCTGGACATTTCGAGTAAAATAATTTTTCGTCGCTCG